CTCCATATAAGCAGCAAAAGATCACAGTGCCTGACCAGTGGTCATCACTCAGAATCCTAAAATACAGAGAGCAGCGGATAGGAAATGTAATCTTTTAACTTAATGTTTCCATGCGTTGTAACACAATTCAGTGTTTGGCCGATGCTGGGTCTGGAGCACAGCACTAGAGGGCAGTGCCATATTGCACTTCCAGGGAAACCATCCTCTCCCAGACACCGCTGATCAGGCTGGGAGATGGAAACTAAGTGCAAAGTACAGCCGCGTTTCTTCTCTGATCTTGTTTTGGTCACCAGTCTGAAGCTGATCTGAGATGCCCACACACCCCATTTTCTCAGGCTGCAGACATCCTCCTCCCCAGTAAGGGAGATTGATTAAGTTCTTTCTGTGTCTGCCAAGAAAACTGTAGATATTGTTACTTCGGATACCAGCAAAATCAAAGTGCTTTACGCCTGTCACATTGAGACAAATCTGCCATCATGACATTGCACTGAATATAAGATAATTGTGAATGATGTCAAGGACAGCGTACAAAATTGTAGTTTCAGTTGGTCTTACACTGGGGGGTTTTCCTTGGGTGTGAATTGAGGTAACTGTACAAGAAGCTCTGTTTTTATTGTCCAAAACAGATGTGGAACAGGCTGTGACTTGTTAAACACTTGCCTGGTTTCCCTGCAGAAGCTCCTGCTGGTAACGTGCTGATATTGAGAGGAGAGATGGAAGATGGAGCTATGATTTCAGGACTATCCAAGCCATTTTATCAAAGAGAAATTCTGTCTCTTGCTTTCCCCAAAACACCTCTTGATTGTGGACTGAGCAGACCTCTTTGCTGAGGCACAGTGTTGGCTAATAAAGGTCTGTGTGAATGAACTTGAATGGTCTTAAATGAAGTTTAACCCAAAAGAGAATTGTAGAGTTTGCCATATGCTGTTTGTTTAATGAGAAAGCCACAGTGTCCCGCATGGTTTTGTAGTGGCTGATCCAAGAAAACTTGTGTTTTACTTCTTGTCCTGCCTTTGGCTGAGTGAAGCACTTTCTCTCATATTCTGTCTTTAGCGTGTAAATAATGCATGTCTTGATGAAAACACATCAAGATAAACTAATGAAAGCAAGCTCTCACTCCAATTACTACTGACTACTCTCTCATTTCATTTCAGCCATAATGAGGATTCTATCCCATGCTTTGCACTTCATTACCCCACACTCCTTCAAGCAGAATCAATATTTTATCAGCAGAACCAGTAAGCCCCTACAATTTTACACTGGTTCCTTTTTCCCTCTAACTTTTCACAGATAGGGTCCTCACAGCATTAATCTCTTCAGAGGCAAACCTTTATATGCTGTTGCCATGAGCTATGTGGTGACATAATATATATATATATATGTATTTGAGAGAGTGAGAGACCTTGTTCTCCTCAAATGAACCCATTAATGCCAGAAGCAATCTTTTGAGCCAAGTTATTGATGGAAGAGAAAAGGTTTCAATGTGAGATATTGTTGTTATTATACCTTGCTAAGTCTCAGTGAGAAACAGCAAACTGTTAAAAAATTCTGTTAATGATAATATGGACAATGCTTGTTCCTTGAAATGATCAATCTTCTGCACAGTAATTAGACCCAAATGAAAGATGGTGCAAAGAGAAGCACAGAAACAGTAAGTTAACCCTTACAGGGGCATAGTAAAGTAGCAACAGAATTCAGTGAACAATCCCATTCAGTTCTGCTGAATCTAAAGTCTGGATTTCCAGCCCTAAATGAGATTAGCAAAATTTCCAAGCTTTTAATCCATCTAGTTCTATTTTTTTTAAAATTTGCCTGTAAAAGTAAGGACACTTTGAAAGATTTATGTCATTAAATGTCCACAGCCTAAGCAGATTTGGTTTGGGCCTTAATTTTAATAAAACATTTTTCATTTAAAAACTGTAGATTGCAATGAATTATATGCAAATTGGATGTACTTTAAAATCTGCCTTTCCAAAAGAAAGTAGAGGGCAGCCAACTGCAGATATAATGTTGGGGATTTTGTATTTTCTTAATTTTTGTTAGAATGGGCCTCTCTGAAACTGTCTAATTTTGAATTTGGGGAGGAGCAGAAGGAATATTTTTATTTAACTAGGCAGTTTTTACTAATAATCCAAAAGATGTTACCAGGTAGATGTTTAAAAGACAAAATGGCATTTTCATCCATTCTGTTTTTATTAGTGGTAAACAGAAGCATAAAACTGAGTGCTTCCTTATTCTCCTGGTGACCAGGAAAAATTCAGAAGATTGAAAAAATTAGGGTTTTTGTCACACTGGAAGTGAACAGGAACTGAAAAAGCCTGGGTAGGTGAAAAGCAAAGCAAAGCTCCCTCTGTCTTAGTGCAGGACTTCACCCTGTGCAGGCAGATGCAGACTGTAATTAAAATATCTAAGAATAAGGTTGGCAGTGCATCATTTTGCTGAGTTTCATTATTTGGGGAAAACATAAAACTTCCAGCTGCGAGCTCTCAGGATGTACTTGGTTTTCAAGCATTTTTGCAGTCCTCACAAGTAGGGAGCCAGTAAACAAATATTCAAATTGCCTATGATCAGACAGGATGTGCTTTGTGTATGCACATATGTGTTGGAGTAAAAATGTATAATATTTGCACCAGAATTTACTTCTGTGTATGATTCTCGCATAAACCTGAGTGAGTTCTTTCCTAGGAACTGATTGTCCCAACTCAGAGTCTGCCTCAGTGTTTTCTTCAGTGATGGCCAGATCCTACATTTTTTTTCCCCATACAAAAGTATTAGAGATGTTCTTTAGTCTCTGAATAGCATGAATTAGGAAAACAGGGGGTTTTTTATAGCTAAATAAAATTTGTTTATTCAAATTTTTTCCAGTGTTTTTCCAAAGCTACATGAAACATCAGGAAAGTATCAGGAAAAAGGAAACCAAATGCTGATGTGACTTCTCAGATAAAAAAAGAGAGAAAAAAAAGACAGTGTGTCTACATTGCTTCTGTTGTCCCTGCAGCAGTGTGTGCCCAGTGGTTCCCTTGTTTGTCACATGGTACCTGTGGCCCTCTGCAAATGCTTTGATATCCCTTCCTGGCTCTCCTGGTTTTGGGTACCCAGTTTCCTGTGGTCCTTCCTCACTACTAAGCTCTATTTGCTGCCCTTTTCCAGGTGCTGCTTTGCCCTCATTACTTCCCATGCATGCCTTTCTGTGCTGAGACATTTTTGCTTTCCTTCCCCTCTGCCACATTCCAGAGTCAGTGATGCTGCTGCCAGCTGACTCACCAGGCTGCAGATGCAAGGTCATGCTGTAAGACAACAAGGCTTCCAATTCAGAACATCACCTGCTGGATCAGAACATGGCAGTTTTGTTTGTCAGCATCCTCAAATTATCAGTATCTGCTGTCTGAAGTTCATTAAGTAACTATCAGATCTGGTTGTCTCTCTGGGTAACTACTGAAGCCAAATTTAGGATAATGCTAAACATATTTATTTCTATCCTGCAGTCCCCTTTTGGTTCCCAAACTATGGTGTTCCAACTCGTTGTGAGTTTCCTCCCTTATGAGGCAGCATCATCAACACTTTGATGAGATGGGTATTTCTGTGCCTGGGCTGTGCTGCCCTGTACAGCCCCTCTTCAACACAGGAAAAATCCACCCAGGGGAAAAAGGCAGGATCCTTCTCAAGGATCTGCTGAGAGGGAAGTAGAGATATGGAGCAGAGCCTGTGTTAAAACTCTTAAACAGTGGGAGAGGGGATGAGCCTCTAGTGTTGCCTGTGCCACACAAGCTGTGAGACAAGGAGGGGTTATTTGCTACTGCAGGTTTAATACTTTGCCTCTGTTTTATCCAGAGTATTAACTGCTCTGCAGCAGTGGAAAATGCTGATAGCAGTTGAAAAATATTAAATTATTTCACAAAAGTAAAAATATTATTTTCATCATTTTTCAATGATGGAGCATTGTGCCCATTTTCTGCCCAAATCTGATTTATTTTCCTTGCTGCTATACCTTTCTTAGCATCATGCTCTAGCTCCACTTTATTTTTAGTAATTAATAATTGAAAAGTGGGAGGAAAATGAGCTGGGAAAAGCTTAAATACTTTGCATTTGCATTTGAAACAAATCCAATGACTATTTTTTAACGTCTGTTTCAAAACCAAGTGAAAAATCAGAACTTATTTATTCATATAGTCTACCATATTACAGATTTCCCCAATACTTGAAAAAAACCAATTGCTGTTTGTGGGACAGTGTAGGTGAGGTGATTTTGCTTGATATACAGCAACCAACAGAGATGAATCCAATGTGAAAGTCTCAGTATTTGTCTTTTTAACCCACCCAAAAGCCTGTGACATCAGAATACGCTTCTACAGCATTTGCAATTTCCTCTGATATCCCAGTAAAGCAGAGGAACTGTGTGGAAGTGTCACTACCAAAAATAGACCCCACTGTCCAAGCCCACTGGGATTTCTTTCCGTTTATGTCTGCTGGAAAACCAGTGAAGGTGTTTTAATGAAACTGCCATTCTGAGGAGATAAAAAGGAACCTTTTTTGGTTTACCTCCTTGTTTGCAGCTGCAAGCAACAAACTTACTCCAAAACAAAACAACCTTTGAGTTGGAGCCTCTGTGCAAGGCAAGGGTGGAGCAATGCAGATTATTATATTTATTTTTTTTACCTTTGAAAGTATCGGGAGAAAACAACAAAAATCAAAGTTATCTTATCTAGAATGCCCCAAGAACTTGATGTTTCCATTAGTGCCACTGTGCTAAACTAACACAGTTTTGCAGCTTTACAAATCTGAAGACAGTCCCATTTCCTGGAACTCTGGCAAACATTTGTGTTCCTTCATTATTTAGCTCAGAAAACCAAAACATGCAATTTGCATATTTCCAAATATGTCTCTGCCAAATAAAAAAGAGACTAATGCCCCTGAAAAACTACCCTGTTGTTTAAATTGAAGGTTTTATTATAAAATATACAGAATATACTTTGTTACATAATTTTAAACAAAAACCACAGTCTGTTTTCAGAATACTCTTGCCCTGCTTAACACTGACCAACATAATTTCATATTTACTACTGTCTTTTCAGTCCAGTTTTTATTCTTCCCCCTCATTTTTCTTAATTTCAACAGTTACAAATTCCAAAAGACATAATTCCTATTCCCACATAAATACAGATCCACACACATATTTTGGGAAGGCAACCAAGAACCCATGCAAGATTTTTATAATACATTAAAATGCACAAGGAGCAACAGACATAAAAACAATGGATGGGCAGAAGATGATCCTTGAGGGTGATGTTTGTGCTCACTCTGCAGCAGGAAGCAGGGCCAGGTTGGTAGCTGAGTGGGCTACGATGTCAGAAGGTCAGATCACACACTAGGATTTGGGCTCATCCCAAATGTTGACACAGTATTGAAAGGGGAAGGGAGAGGGGAAGACATGTGACATAAAGGACATTGTATTCAGCAGTAAATGTTGACTGGAAATGTCCATCATTGGGCTGGGGAGATGAAAGTCCACTCTGGGATGTCCACAAAGATTTCTTCTTCTTCTGTTGCTAAATGTTGAATTGGGCTGGTAATAAGCACCAGATCTGGAGAAGAAGAGTCTACTTACTAACAGTAAATATCCTCCAATATTAATTTAATTTTAATTAAATGTGATTTAATGTATATTCCCATCTGACAAAAAGAGAGTCTCACCACATATAAGGCTAAAATTTTGTGAGTGCTATTTGTCTTAGCATGCTATCTTTAAAAATTCTGCCTTGATAGTTAAGGTAAAACCACAGGATCATAATGGAATGCTTAGATATTCTAAATCTGCATTTCATCCTCTCCTTTGATTACATCTCAAGCTTGCCCAGTTGGCCCTTTCCCAGCTTTTAACCTTTCAGATATGATCTGCAGCTGCTGGATGCTACAGGAAACAAGGAAAGACCTAAAACCTTCTGAGGTATGCTCAGGCAGAAATGCAGTGAGCCTTGAGACCTCACAGCAGGCTTCTGGTCACACAATGTACAGCACAGAGGGAACCCTTGGCTTTATGTGTTGTAGAAGAACTGCTTCAATCCAAAACTTGTTATTCCAGGAATAACATGATTAATTCTCATGGGTTTCTTCTATAGATGAAGAATAACAAGACAATTAAGCTTGGAGCAAAACCTGACTCTTACAGTCCATCACAAAACCTCTTTTGCCTCCAGTGCTGAAACAGGCCTTAGAAAAATATTAGAATTTTCAGGAAATCTAGAGAGTACAGATAAAGGCAAACTCACTTAAATCTTAATATTACAGGTACTTGTGCTTACACTGCAAGAACAGCTTTCAGTTTAACCTGTTTCACAGTTGGGACATAGGTAATTTTTCACAAGGTAGAATGAATATGTATGTTCAAGGCCTTTCAACATGATTATTACTGCAGGTTCCATCAAAATGCTTCTTCACAGGATGCAGTCCTTACTTCGGAAATTAAGATCTCCAGTGCAGAGTTGTTCCCATTTAAAATGTTCCTGTCTCACAACAGAACTCCAGAATACATTTATCATTCAGATTCCAAGTGAGAATAATTGTTTATGGTAAAGTTCTCAAAGAACAGGGGATACTGAGCTAACAGAAAGATGACATTCTCTTTATGTGTGCACATGTAATCCTAATTAATATGGTCCTTTGCAGTTACAGAGAAGAATTAGTAGGATGCTTTAACATCACTTTTATTTACCTTATTGATCAGGACTCCAAAGTCTCCAGTTGTAAACAACAGTGGTATGAAAAAAAACCAGCAAAAACAATTTTAACAAGAACACTACGTGGACAAAATAATGATTTATTGGAAGCAAATATTCACAAAAGGTATAAAGGCAATAATTCCAATTGTTTACTTTTTAACAAGACAAAGTTACTCCATTACCAGATTTATTCAGAAACATTAGATTTAGATTAGATTTAGGAACAATGTAGAGTATTTTAAATCCCTGAGAATGATGTCCTCTCGTTCTTTTATGCACTCCCTGCCCCGCCACCCCCTTTCCCCCCCAAAAAAAAGGTGCTGGAAATTTAATTTCCTGCTCAGTTAAGCTTTTAGTGTATCACCATCCATTCTTTATATCAGCATGAAATTTAAAAACGCAAGCAAGCCCAAGTTCCACATCAAACTCATCCACATTCAGTGGCAGGAACCCAATTTAAAATTACCTCCAGTTTCAAGTTGGTATCCAAGCTGCTTTATAGGTAAGGCTACTGACTCTAAAGATAAAACTTGTTCCCCTTAAATCAGACATGAAAGAAGTAACCTCCTCCTTTTTCTTTTAGCTGGACACAACTAGGGGTTTTTACTTCTCATACAGAAGTATGGAGCTGTGAATGCAAGCCTTCAGTCTTGATCTTTTTACATCTAGATTTAAGAGATCTTAGCATCACAAACTTCCAGTTCCTACTGCACATTTTTAGTAATTTTTCTCATCCCTCATCATTTTTAGGCTTATATCAGGCAGAGAGTTTAAGAATGACAAACTTGGGTAGCAAAAGCATTTCCTCCTATGCAATGCAAGTTCCATTACTGAGTTTCAGGAGGAAGCCACCCTGCAAGGTAACAAAGACAGATCCAGGCACAACACATGCAGACAATTTGCAGTCCAAGTTTAGACATTTTTCTAGTAAGACTGTTGCCTTTGTGCAAGGATGTAACATATCCATCAAAGAACTCCTCTAGCTGACACCTGACAAACAGCATAAGCAAAGCATGGGGAACAAGGCTAAACTTGAGTACTTTTAAAAGCTGCAGCTGATGTTGGTGTTACCTTGCCAGTGGCAAGCTCTTCAGTTGGAGATGGAAAAAAAAAATCTAATAAAACTCAAGGCATAACTCAACTAAAATAAAGTTATTTCCAATATTAGAGGTAGATTTTATCCAGTGTACTATATAACAGCTGCTCCTGTAAGAGCAGAGATCTAGGAATTAAACAATTTAAATCAATTTCAACACCTATGTGCTCTTAGAGTAATTAAGGCAAGCTTTTTGTATATCCTTCAAGAAAGCAGGCACACCACTCTGTAAAGAGAAAGGCAGAAAAGTTATTGTTGCATAATGAAATCAATAAAAACGATAAACAAGATGAGAATTCCCATTACACAGATCAAGGCCTTCAAACAGATACAGTTCTAAGATCTAATATACAATTGTCTAAGATACAAGTCTAAGATCTGGTACATAGCATCACACCAATACTTGGGAACAAACTGCATTACTGAAGTTTGCTTGTCTTGAGGCTATTCATCTATGCTCTGAAACACAGTTATTTGGTTTGCTGCAGAAATTTACCTGCCCAGTTGACAAACCAAAGGAATTTGACAGGAATTAAAATAAGTAAATTAATTAAGACTATTGTAATGAGACCATACAATAGTGAGATTGTAAACTTGTGACTGTGTAAAAACTAGGAAGGTCGATATATCTGTTTCAGAAAGAATTAATTCCACCCAACACGTAGAAGATGGGTATGACTGCAGTGAATTTGTTGCTTGAAACAGATCAGCCAAAGATCATTGAATGTAACCTTTCCTTACCTTGGAAGCCCAGTTGACCAGCCAGGATGGAATCATGCCACCAGGATTATCAAAATAGTACATATAGACTAGAGAGGAGAGAGAAGTTACCAGACAGTTACCTGTGACTCAGCTCTAACACACTGTCACAGAAGCTGCTGGTGGGCATGACTGGAGCACCAACTACAGCAGTTCTACTCTAAATTCTTCACAAAAAGGTCAACTTGTCCTGAAGTGAAATGTGAAGTAAATACAGGCATTCCCCGTTAACCTTTGGGAAGCTGATAGAGCCACAACAGCAATTTAGATTATTGCAAACCATTTTTGTCACCCTGTCTTATAAAGTAAGACTGTCTTTGAAAGACTAACCTCAGGCAGGAGTCAAGCTCTAGGCAAACCCTTTAATCTCTACTCCTGTCAAACACAATACTTGAATCATTGCTGAGTTAAGAAAATTGCAGCAGAGTCTCCCCAGCTGAACTGTCTGGCAGGAAAAGAAGTACAGACTGGGGGTGGGATGGGAGGACAGAAGGAAGTGGTCAATAGACTATTCTTAACCACCCAGCCCAACTGCTAAATAAAAAGATTCTTTACAGTAGTGCACTGTACTGGACATTTCCAAAAGTTTCATTCATTTTAAAGTAACCCCTGGCTTAAAATTTCCAGTCCCCCTCTTTGTGTGTTTTGTTAATACATACATTCCCTGCCTACATGACTTGTCACACATTTTCTTGACCTCTTACCTTTACATCCAGCCTTGCCATCACTTTCAATTGCCAGGCTTTGTTTATAGCTTTTAACTCTGATAATACCGGGCTTTTCAGGGCACTGAGGAACAGCCACACTTTTTGCTAACACAACCCAGATCTTCCTCCCATCCACATCCATCTCCTGGCATTCCCGAATATAGACATACTGCATTGCAAGTTGAGGAGGCATGTCAAAACAATGTCAGTGTGAGGGATGAGGAGCTGACAAGTGAATTCCATCACAAACAGCAGCTCCTTCAAGTTATTTCTCGTGTTCTTACAGGATTCAATCCTGCAGAGCAGTAATTCAGCTATGTGAGCTCTAGCTCTGTGTGGGAAGAGACACCCACATTCCTCTTCATGCCATATATATTCATGTAACACAAGGACTGCAAGATCTTAGACCAGCCCAGCAAAGTGATGGAATCATTTCATTGTTGGGACTCTTGGATGACCAAGTGGCAAAAACTGCAAGAGGAACAAAAGCCTGAAAGGATACATCTCTGTTTGAGAGAGGAAAAGGGTACTTCACTTCCCAGTAGATTACTTTTTCACCATCATATGTTTCCTCATACAGTTCTATGGTTGAAAGAAGAAGACTGTTAGATACTTTTAATTTCTACTGCAGCAGAGATATAGATGGCATCAAGAACTGCTCAGATTTCTGACATGAACACATTTTACACTTAACCCTGATGTCAAAATTAGTATGTATGTAGAATTTCAGCAGTAAGAGACATTAAAAAGTTCCGTACCAGGACTGTTCAGGAATCAGTTAAACAAAAATAGGTGGCCTGTTTTCCTGTGGTGGAAACAAACAAACAAACAAAACCAAACAAAAAACCCAAAACAAAACCAAAACAAACAAACAAAAAACCACCCCCAAAACCAAAACACTCCCCCCTAAAAAACACCCCAACAAACAAAAAGAAACCACAACCCCCAGAATATAAAAGCAGAACAGTTCTGGAGGAAGCAGAGTCAAATTCCTTTTCCAACAGTTTGCTCATTCAAAGCCTTTCTGTCTCAAAGCTTTTTCCTCACCTGTGCGTGTTCTGCACAATTCTAAGCCACAAGTACAATGTGCTTTTCCACAGGCATGTCCTTGTACATTATACTGAGCTATATGGAATTACGAGTGCAAATTTCTAACACCTGAAGACATCTTACATGAAGGATTAATGAATTTTCGAAAGGAAGTCAGGAATTTCACAGCAGTATATACATGGAACAGCAAACTAGAATCTTGAGCAGTTTATGAGTCTTCATTAAACTACCTTCAGTCTGCCTTGAAACTCAAATCAGAAAGCAGCAGAACATGAAAAAAAAGTAACCTAAGAGTAGTGCCTAAAACACGGCAGTGACTCAGTTGGAGAGTAGTCTGGCATGAAGGAGAAAAATTAGTTGTAATCAACCCACATAACTTTTGAAAGTTTTGGGTTTGAAAACCTATCTCCAGTACATCTTCTTTCCCTGAGGCAGAAACTGCCACTGTGAGGGCAATGGACCTGACAAGCCATGGGACTGAGCCAGGGTGAACTCCTGTTAGCTCAGGAGTAAAAGAAGAGTGTCATCCAGAAAGGTGGTTCACCTCAAGTCAGAGTGGTCTTTTCTTCATTTAGAGCAGACTTGTACTTGTACTATATCCTCCAGACTTGCAAGTGAGGCCAGAATAAACTGATAATCTCATTGATAAGGCAAGAACAGTGTCCCAGATGGGAGATTCTTTCTCTATGTAATATATTCCAATATATTCTGTTAGCATGCCCTACAGATCAGCTATCGCCCACAGAAAAAAAAACTTCTCCAGCTGGAGCAACACTGGATGCACCTGGTGTTGTAATAACCGACAAGATTTATCTTTTCCACCAGAGGTCACTGGAGCATTGGATTATTCACTTTACTTTCACTTCTAACCACAGAGATTTCCTTTTTCAAAGCCACCATGAAGCTGTTTTAAAGACCCCGATACAACTGTTATTAGCTACCTTATTTACCTGTGTATCTTTGCAAACACAGGAAAAACACACAACAGGTAAACCACATCCCACCTGCATTCACTTCTAAGCAGAATACAGTGCATTTTAATCAATAATCTGATTTCATTCAGCATCACTACAGGTGATCACAAGTCCATTCTACCCATAATAGGTATAGCAAAACTTCCTGCTTCAAGTCAGTTATTACCATTAAATTGTTGGGAAGTCTGATCTCAATCAGGAAGGTGCTGCAATCAGGAGTAGCAAGTTTCAGTATTGCTCAGGCCCAACCATTTTGTATCATGCCACAGAAGTGTGTAGTACCTCAGTCACTATTCTACAGTTTAGTCACAACTTCCCTGCTGAATTGGCAGCTGCAGCACAAACCAGCCCTCAGGAACAGTTGCCTTTTCAGCTAAAAAGGCAGCTACTTCTGCTCTGGTCAGGTTTTTATTTCAGTGCCAACCAGCAGTTCAGCAGAGAACTCTCCTTTGGACTGCCACTTGCATGGCAGTAAGAGCACCAAGGAATACAAACAGTAACACCAAGTTCCTGGTGTAAAAGGTGCCAAGAACATCCAATGCTTTCAGGAAAAGATATTCCATCATGCATCAAACTGGTGGAAGCCTGAGGAAAAATTTTTACAATGGGAACAATCAGTCTTTGAAATAATCTCCCCAAGGACAAATTTTAAGACTCAGCTGAACAGGGTGCTGGGCCATCTTGTCTTGGCTGTGCTCTCACCAAGGAACTTTGGACCAAATGATCCCAGAAATCCCTTCCAACCTGCTATTCTATGACACACTGCTCCACTGCCATATGCAAAGATGCACAAAAGGTACCACCTCCATTTCTCCCCAAGAGATCTACTAAAATTTAACCTAAGCATTACAACTAGAAGTTACAAGGCATTCCAGCATAACCAGTGATGCTAATCATACGCTTTAACCAACACGGGAAGAATTCATTCCAGAGGAAAGATTAATGCTGTTGAGACATTAGTGATTCCATATCAGTGTTTACTTGTATATTTGCAGAGTGCAACCTTATCCCAAAAGATATTTAAGTCTGACCCAAAGTCTTTGGAGGCAGTAACTTCAAAATACCTTTGAGGAAAGTTTCAGTGGGAACAATCAATGTGAACTCCAGCTTGCTTTTACACTGCCTAGATAAGCTTACCTTTAACATATTGATCCCACTCTTTTCTGAAATTCAAGTCCATGTAGACATCTGCACACAATTTTGGGGGAACATCAGCAAGACCACCAAAGATTTTATATTCATAAAGTCCTGATTGCTGTGGAAACAGAATTAGGAGAGGAAAAGTCACACAGGAAAGGGAAGTACTCTGCATCAGGGAGAACAGCTGAAGGAAGTTAGGTGGGGCACAAACTACAAATATGCTCAAGAGCGGTGAAAGCAAGTGTTCAAAAAACAATGCAAGATTCAGTCTTTAACCTCTCGACTTTTTGATCTGTACATGAAAGTTTAAATGCAGCCAGGCTGATCTGCCCTGCACAGTGGCTGTTCCTTCCCTTACACCAGTACCCTTTTACTTCATCAGGAGTTCCAGAGGGAGCATTTCTTCACACAGTCCCCCTTTTCATCTCCAGTGGTCAGTGTGGATTAAATCCTGTCCGAACTGAGGTTTACCAGAAGCATTAAATTCTTGTGGCAAGTTAGTTATGCTTATACATCAGGCTGGGATACTTTAGAAGCATACTTTAGAAAGAATGCTTTACAATGTCCATACAATGTTTTATACATACATATTGTATGAGCCATTCATACAATAGCAGCACAGCCACTGCAGTAAGCCAGGGTTTCCTTGGTCCCGTTTGCCTGGCTAAATCCAGCCTTCAGCTTCCCAAAGTTCCTTTGCCTTCATTCACTGCATGATGCATTTACAGGTCAGCTCTGGGTTAAGCTCTGATCCTAAAGCCACCACTTCATCCACTCCAGCAGGAACATGCCCAGCACCCTGTACTCCATCAACACACTAATTCCTGCATGGATACCTGGCAGGCACCTCAGCCCCACCTGTGCTGTGTGCACACACTGATAAACTCGTCTTGCCATTGCCAGTCACCACATCCACACTGTAAACAGGGACTAGTTACCACTGAACAGAATTCCAAGGTCTATGAAGTGATGGTTTTTTTAAAGAAGCTTTCCCCACTCCATTGTGCCTTTAGGACAGCCCTTTATGCTTGCTGGTTTTTTCTAACATTATCATGTCTGAAACGATATCACAGAATACAAATACAAAATTGTCCTACAAAGAACAGCATGAAGTCCAGGAGTTGAGAGGAAACTGTGACCACTCAGTTTAAAAAATAGGACATGTGTACATATATATATTTATATATGGATTTAGAAGTCAGCACTGAATAAAAAAAATCTGTGTCAGAATGGAAACACTATCAATCACAAGTCAGCTCCTAAACTACTAAAGTTCTTTAAAGAAGTTAATCCCCCCAAAAGGGGAGAAAATTTCATCCCAACCCTTTCTGAACTACCTCCTGATTTTAGAAGATTAAGGATGGAAAACCAGTGTGCAGGGAGTTCTGGAGAAAGGCAGGAATGGGGGAAGGCTCCTGGAGAGCAGGATGCTGTGACACGGGCGGGCTCAGGAGCAGATGTTGAGGGACACGCTCCCCTCACCACAAACCCCCTGCGAGGGGAGGATGGCACATCGGACACCCGGGAATTCCCGCTGCTCACAAGCTCGGTTCCCCGGCACGGTGTTCGGGCGGGGGTCCCTGCGGCCCAGCAGCTTTCCCATCAGCAGTTAATGGCATTACCCGGAAAGCTGCTTTCTGCGAGCCCGGAGAAACCGAGCCCAGGCCTGTGCGGGGGACCGGCGGCTGCGGCCGGGGTCGTGCGGGCCTCGCGTCCCCTTCATCCACTGTCCCCTTCATCCACTGTCCCACTTCATCCACCGCCCCCTTCACCCACTGTCCCCTTCATCCACTGTCCCACTTCATCCACCGCCCCCTTCACCCACTGTCCCCTTCACCTACCGCCCCCATCACCGTCCCCTTCACCCACCTCCCCCATCACCCACCGCCC